GACCGTATGACGGTGAAGCTTGAGCAAGACTTGGCACCGATGGACGATGGCAACGGTGAAGAGCAAGTGAAGTCAAGATCGATGAACCAATATGATCATGTGATGATATGAAGTGGATCATATCATTGTTGATCATGTTGGTGCATGTGTTGCATCGACATTGGAGGAGATGGAATGGAATGCGCAAGTCAAAGGTATAACCTAGGGCATTTCATTTCACCGGTCATAGGTGTGTAGAGAAGTTTATGACCGGGTTTAGGATAGATGGCCGTACTATCAAGAGGGGCAAACTTGTTTGCATATCGGTCATCTAGTGCCACTCGAGTGATCTAACTTTACATCATCGCTAGGATCGAGTGGCATGGCAAGTTGAGTGGCTAATCCTTTGGAAAATGATTGTAAAAATGCTAACACACATACACATGGTGGTGTACACTTGGTGGGGTTGGCACATTTACAAAGGAGATGAAGTTGGAGTTGATGTGGATCAACTCGGTGAAGAAATGGAGGCGAAAGGAGAAACTCCACCGACGAAGTGTTCGCCCGTAGAGTGCGGATAGTCCGACGGTGCCACCGGCGCCCTATACAGAAAAGACAGGGTCTCACAGAGTGAACCAGACACTGGGGTCCTGCGTCTGGTTAGAGCTGACGTATGGTGACGTAGGCAAGGCAGAAGCTAGAGAGTGACCGAACGCTGGCGCTACGTCCGATCGCGATCGACCGGACGTGTCCGGTCGTGAAATGTCGTTTCTGGAACCTTACTAGAAATGACCGGACGCTGGAGGCTCAGCGTCCGATCAGTTGAAGCTGTTGCATCCGGTCGTCAGATGACCGTTGAGATCGGATGAACAACATTTGAAGGAGGGGACACGTGGCGAGTATCACGTGATCGGACGCTGAGGTCCAGCGTCCGGTCGATCGGACCAGAGCGTCCGGTCATCCCAACTTTTGCCCAGTGAAGGGGTAACGGCTCTATTTGTTCGTGGGGTTATAAATAGAAGCCATGGTCGACCTTGGGCCGACAGCTAAGCACACTAGAGCCTTGGTGGCTTGTGTAGTAGTGCTTGGGAGCCCTCCATCTCACACATACTTGATAGTGATCATCCAATTGTGTGAGTGAGCGATTCTAGTGCGATTGCATCGTGAGGTTGCATCGAGTGGCACTAGGTGATCGAGTTGCAAGGCGGTGGTGCTTGTTACTCTTGGAGGTTGCCACCTCCTAGATGGCTTGGTGGTGGTCTCCATCGAAGCCCGCAAGAAGCTTGTGCAGCGCTCCGGAGAAGTGCTTTGTGAGGGGCATTGTGCTCGCCCCGTGGGAGCCGCGAAGAGCAACTTTAGTAAAGCGTGTCATTGAGCTACCCTCACTTCCGGGGTAGGTTCTTGCGGCGCCCGACGTGCGGGCTTGGCGGGTGATACCAATTAGCCGCCGAACCACTAAGTAAGCGGTCGACACAACGGGGACTAGCATGTTGGCAAACACGTGAACCTCGGGAGGAAAATCATCGTGTCAACCTTGTTCTTCCCGTTGGTTTGCATCCCCGTTACACAAGCTTGCAATTCCTTTCATATACATTGAGCTTGTGTTGTTGCTTTCATAATTAGTTAGCTTGTGTTGCTTACTAGTTACCTTCTTGCTTGTGTAGCATAGAAGTACCTCCCTTGTGTGGCTAATTTGGTTTGTGTAACCTTGTTAGTCACATTGCTTAGTTTATGTAGCTAAGTAATTGCGCTCTCTAATTTGGCATTGGTTGCCTTGTTATTGAGCATTGCTAGTGAGCTTATGTGGCTTTGTGCTTTTGCTTACTAGCATGTGTAGGAGCTCCATTGTTGCTTAAAGTACTAGTGGCATAGGTTTGTGTGACCTTGCTCCTAGAATTGGTTAGGAGAGCTCTAGCTAGCCCTGCACCTTAGTTGCTTAATTAGTATCTTTGGCAGGTGCTAGAGAACATAGATAGAGGGGTGTAGTCTTGGCTAGACCGATAGTTTTAATTCCGCACTTGTTTCGATTAGCCGACGCGATTAATTTTAAAAAGGACTATTCACCCCCCTCTAGTCGCCATCTCGACCCTTTCAACCGCCATCGGCGCGTCCAGTCTTGCTCAGCTGCGTCTGATCTCAACTTAATCGCGTGAACGTCGGAACTCGACCATTGGGATCGGTCGGCAGAGGTTTAAATGGGGGACATGTGGACGACATCCGTTGACCGGACGCTCTGGGGGCTTGCGTCCGGTCATGATGACCAGCGCGTCCGATCACCCCAAGTTGGGCTGCTATGTGCGCCCAACGGCTCTATTTCGATGGAGCCTCTATAAAAGGTGTTAGGTCAGCTCAAGCTCACTCTTTTGGCCATTTGCATTGACATAGCAACCTTGTGAGCTTAGCCAAAGCCCTCACACTCATCTCCATCATAGATTTATCATTTTTGTGAGATTGGGAGTGAATTCAAGTGCATTGCTTTAGTGATTGCATTTAGAAGCACTTGGTGTTCGTATTTCGCTGCAGGATTCGCTTATACTCTTGGTGGTTGCCACCACCTAGATGGCTTGGAGCAGCAAGGATCGTCGAGCGGAGGTTGGTGATTGTCTCTGGCTCCGATTGTGGTGATTGTGAGGGGTTCTTGACCTTTCCCCGACGGAGAGCCAAAAGGTACTCTAGTGGATTGCTCGTGGCTTGTGTGATCCTCATCTTGTGTTGGTTGTGCGGCACCCGATTGCGGGTTTGATGTGTGATGCCAATTAACGCGTGAACCTCCAAGTGAGTGAATCGCCACAACGAGGACTATCTTGCCGGCAAGTAAGTGAACCTCGGTAAAAAATCTTGTGTCATCTTGTCTCGAGGATTTCTTGATTGATTGTGATAGACTGGCTCCATCATATTGTGATTGGCTTTATCCTTGACACGGCGGTATAACTATCACATCCTCTCTCTTGCATTTATATTTCTAGTGTTGCTACGCTTTTTAGTGTAATTAGTTTTGAAAGCTAGCTTGTGTCGGGTATAGTGGTTAGTGAGGCTCTTTATTTAGTCTTTGAGAGCTCACTAACTTAGTGTAGTGACATAATCTTTGTGTGTTTAGAGATCATAGTCACTAGAATTATGGTAGGTGGCTTGTATTTTTAGTAAGCTAGCGCAACACTCGCTTTGTCGTTTAATTGTCTAACATCTTGGCTAAGTGTTGTTGTATAAAATTTCAATAGATTATTCACCCTCCCTCTAGCTATTAAGACCTTTCAAATGCAGGTTGCCAAAATCTAAAAGTTACTCAAAAGCTTCATGATGTCTTTCCTCCAAAAGAAACCCACTGGGCTTCTTACTTGTGGTGGAGTTTGGGTATTGACATAGAATTTATTTCAAGTGAGTGACACCCAGGGCAACTCTGCGTTGTTGTAGAACTTGTCAAGAATTTTCATTAGAAGAGCATTGTTATGGCTTTCAATAAGAATCCTCAAGCCTCCCTGATCTTTGGGTTTACAAGCTGTTTCCTAAGCCACCAGGCAAGATCTTTTTATGTTAATATCCACTTTGCTCCAAAGACAATGCTTTCTATAGATGTCTATCTGTTTTATGACTTGAGGGGGAATTTTTAGCCTGCACATATAGAATGTTGGGAGGGCAGAGAACACTGAGTTGACTAAGATGAGTCTACTATTGTAGGACAAGAGCTTGTTGACGCCAGATAGTCTCTTTTCTATCCTGGAAAGCAAAGGGGTGAATTCCTGAAGGGTAGGTTTAGTGGTGCCAAGGGAAAGACCCAAATAAGTAAAAGGCCTTGTGCCTACTTTGCAGCCAAAAGTGTTAGCTAAATGTGTAGCTTTTCTTGCAGAACAGTTGATGGGCACTACAAAGGATTTGCTAAAGTTCACATGCAGTCCAGTGGAATCAGAGAATGGTCTTAATATGCACTTCAAATTGAATAGTACACACACACACACATATATATATATATATATATATATATATATATATATATATATATATATATATATATATATATATATATATATATATATATATATATATATATATATAGGCAGAGAGCTAATTTGCTCTATATTTGTGCTATTGCGTGCCTTGGACTAGCATGTGCCTGTTAGCAGTTGCTTGGTGGCTTCCATGGCAAAGGGTGAAGATGGGACGACTGTTATGTGGTGCAGTGTCAGTCGTACCAGCATTGTGTCCTAGCCGCTGGGTAGGAACTATGGCCAAACGAACGATGCACCATCACGTCGGGCGCAGGGGATATATAGCCAGTGGTATAGAGAGTCGAAAAAGGAAACTAGAAAGAGATACTCCTTTGTCCAAAATAAGTACTTATATCCTGCATTTTAAGGAGTCAGTCAATCTCAAGTTTGACCAAATATAATAAAACTATACTAATGTTCATGATACCAAATAAGTATCATTATATTAGTCATATTATATATTTTTATATAGTAAACCTATTTAGAGATACAAATATCAATACCATTTTCCATAAATCTAGTTAAACTTGAAATTGATTGACTCATCGAAATGCTAGATGTACACTTATTTTGTGACAGAGAAAATAGGAGTCTGGGAAAGGGTAGAAGAGTCGTGACTCATCGCAAGTGCAACATGCAGTGTTGGTCAATCGTGGACTTGATGTTTCTAGGGTTAGATGGGGTGTTGGGTCGTATTGTTGTATTGGGCCAATTTGAGAGTTGTGCATGTTGTTTTTTTAGCTCATTTGGCTCGCAAGCTAGCTCGTTAACTAAACAAGCTAAACTATTGGCTCAGCTTGTTAGAAAAAAGTAAATGTTCCAAGTTGGTTCGAGCCACTAACGAGTCTAGTTGAACGAGTTACTGAGCCATAGGTTTTTTTGTCCAGTCCTATTAATTTTTTTAGATTAGATCATGTTTTAGGAATTAATTGCACATTTTCAAAAATTGTATTTTTTGTTTTTTTTTGAAAAATCTAATTGGTCTCTTTGAATTGTCAACGTAGTTGATTTACTTCTCTGAATTCTCTCATGACCGACATGGCACTACATCGGCCAAAAACCGCTTTTGAAATCATCTTGAGATCAAACTTGGAAGCGCGATTTTTCGATCGAGGGACGATGAAAGTAGAGGAAGTTCAAATAGATTTCTCCTACGGCCCAACTATTTCTCCTACCGTTGGGCCCAATCTCCCTTGGAACAGCAGAGCCCACGGTAGACGGCACGCTGCTTCAGCAGCCACCCGCGAGTCCTCGTCCGCCACTCCGTCGAACGCCCCTGCGCACGCTCCAGCTGCTATGCTCCTCCGCCCGCGCCCCTCCCTCTTCCGAGCCGTCGCGCCGCCGCCGCTAACCAGCGCCTGTGTCCCCTCCCGTCGCACGTTCTCAGCTTCTGCAGAGGCGGGAACAGCCTCCCCGAAGGATGCAGCGCCAGCGCCGGTTCCGGCGGCCACGCGCAAGAACGCCAGGAAGGCCGGGCCGCCGCCTATGGGGATTGTGAAGACGGCGCTGTTTCTGCCGCCCGGGGTGGAGCGGGATGCGGCGGTGGCCGCGGACATGGTCATACCGGGGTCGAACATTGTGGTCGGGCCCTACGCTGGGGACGCTAGGGTGAAGGAGGCTGAGTTCGTCAAGAGCAGCGCGCGCGCGGGGGACTGCCCCAAGGACGACCGACCCGAGTTCGCCGTCCTCGGTCGCTCCAACGTTGGCAAGTCCTCGCTCATCAACGCTCTCACCCGTCGCAAGGAAGCCGCGCTCACCTCCAAAAAGCCTGGTGATACCAAAGAACAATCTTTAAGCTTTGTCCTTCTGCTTCCTTGAAAGTGCTCTTAGTTTATCGATGCATTTTCCCTGTTTGGCTTTTAATTAGCTTATCAGTGAGTTTTATGTCACTGTAATGTCGTAATGGCGCTCTAGATCGCATTATGCAATCCCCCTCCCCCTTGGTTCTAGGGCTTGGGGGATATTCTGGTTAGGGTTACAGTCTTTACAGATCCTGGCGGCAGTCAGGTTTCCCAGTGGGCACTGGGAGAATAAACCCAAGCTAGGAAATATATAAATTCAAAAGTAGAATTTGGAATTTAAATGAATTCATAGTACCCAGCGTGGCAATTGTATTGGATGGGCAGGCCATTAGCAGTAGGGATTTAGAACCTGGTCAAATTCAAACTATAGCAGATGACACTTCGTTTCCACAAATCAAACCCACTGCCATTCTGGGTGTGGTGGTACCAGTCATGGAACTGTTGGATTCAATCTTACCAGCCAATAACTTGTACTGGACATGGTCCAAGATTAGTATTGGACATCGAACCTCAGTTTATTTCTTTTGCCAACTTTATAAGGGCTCCTTTGATATTTCTTCCATCCTAACTATTGATCTCGCGCATCCTTCAGTAACAGTGATTTGTTTGCTAGGGAGTTTCTCTTCAATTTTTAACTTTATTTTGTGTTCACTAACTTCGAATCTACTGTTTCTGTAATATAGAATACCTCCTTATTGTTGTATATCAAACTTAATAAATTTACTCTAGCAGGGCAAACTTGGCATGGCATGTTTCTTTATTTTATTTAAAATGCACATTTCTTATGTATGGTCATGGGTTCTAACATCATCAAATGTTCTGCAGGGAAGACCCAGACAATCAATCACTTTTTGGTTAATAAGAGTTGGTACCTTGTGGATTTGCCCGGTTATGGGTATGTTTACTCTTCTCTATCATGCTAAGGTTTTCTCATTGGTCCCAAATGAGGAAGTCAACTTGTTCACTAGTGTGTCGCAAAAAAAAAAAGTTCACTAGTGCTTCACATGCTATGTTCCAGAATGGGAACATCTTTTGTTTTTTTCTCTCTTTTACATATGTTGATTAGGAATTTAATCCTGCTGATGTACTAGCTTTGTCACACTCATCTAGTTCCATAGCCAGAATGGCATTCTTTTTACGACGTAGTATTCATTTGTGGCAATCTTGGATTTTGGCATATAAGATATTGTTCTAGAACCTTTGTATACAGCAGCTGTTCATGCAAGTAGCGTTTCTATATGCTGTGCTTGTTTTACTATGATAAATTAACATAGCAATAGTACAGGTGGATGCAATCCATTCAGGTTTAAACTTGTGATATGAAAACAAAGTGACATAAACACTTTGTCCTGAAGGTAGCCGGCTAACGTGTTAGTTCTGGAAGCCCATTACTATGTCGTTTTTTCATGCCATATTGGATAGGGCACAAACTCCACTTGCATCAGTTGTAGCTTTCCTTTAGATAGCATTCCCGATTTCGTTTGCTGGTGTCTTGACTCTCGATAATTTTGTAACAAGTGCCTCTGCTTCCAGCATGAAACAATATTGTTTTACAGACACTCAAAAGCGACCTATGTTTCCTTTTTCCACAGTGTTTTTAAGATTGTTTGTTCTAATGGTGTAGTATAAACTATTTCAACATACTATTTATTTGATACAATATAGTGTTTTTCCACGGTGTAAATATATTATGCGTTCAAGAGACTAAATGGAAGGGTCAGAAGGCGAAGGAGATGGACAATACAGGTTTCAAGATTTGGTACACAGGGACAGTTGCGAATAGAAATGGAGTGGGAGTTTTGATTGATAAGAGCCTCAAGAATAGTGTGGTGGGAGTGAGAAGGCAAGGAGATAGGATTATCTTAGTCAAGCTTGTCATTGGTGATATGGTCTTGAACGTAATTAGTGCGTATGCCCCCCAAGTAGTCCTCGACGAGAGTGCTAAGAGACAGTTCTGGAAAGACTTAGATGGCCTGATTAGAGCTGTACCTAGTAGTGAGAAGCATTTTATAGGAGGAGATCTTAATGGGCATGTAGGTACTACAAGCATAGGTTTCGAGGTAGTTCATGGAGGTTTTGGGTATGGTAGTAGGAATCAGGAGGGGGAGGAAGTTCTGGACTTCACGGTAGCTTTTGACCTGATGATAGCCAACACTTTCTTTAGAAAGAGAGAATCTCATCTAGTGACTTTCAGTAGCGGACAACACTCTAGCCAGATTGACTTTGTCCTCACAAGAAGAAAGGACAAACGAGCATGCTTGGGTTGGAAGGTGATATCAGGGGAGTGTGTTGTTTCTCAACATAAGCTTTTGGTAGCAGACTTTCGTTTTCAGGTGCGTGCCCGTAAGGATAAACAAGCTAAGATTGAAAAAACAAAGTGGTGGAAACTGAAAGGGGAGACGTCAGAGGTATTCAGGGAAAGTGTTATCAAAGAGGGCTCTTGAAAGGAAGAAGATGACATAAACAACATGTGGGAGAAGATGGCAACCAACATTCGGAAGGTGGCCTCAGAGGTGTGTGGAGTAACCAAAGGAAGTGGAGGCGAGGCTGAAGATACTTGGTGGTGGAACGAGGAAGTCCAAAGGGCTATTAAGGAGAAGAAAGAATGCTATAGACGCTTGTATAATGACAGGAGTGTGGACAACATAGAGAAGTACAAGGTGGCAAAGAAGACTGCAAAGCGAGCCGTAAGTGTGGCAAAGCGTAGAGCGTACGAGGATCTTTACCAACGTTTGAGTACGAAGGAAGGAGAGAAGGACATTTATAGGATGGCTAGGGTTCGTGAGAGAAAGACAAGGGACTTTAATCAAGTTAAGTGCATTAAGGATGAAAGGGAGCATTTCTTGGTGGAGGGGGATGAGATCCGACATCGATGGCAAGAGTATTTTGACAAATTGTTTAATGGTGAGAATACGGACGCAACCTTTCAGTTGGATGACTCTTTTGATGACACCAATAGGCGCTTTGTGCGGAGAATTCAAGAATCTGATGTCAGAGAGGCGTTGAAAAGGATGAAAGGAGGTAAGACGATGGGACCGGATGGTATCCCAATCGAGGTGTGGAGATGCCTCGGGGGCATAGCTATAGTATGGCTAACCGAGCTATTCAACCATATTTTTCGATCAAACAAGATGCCCGATGAGTGGAGAAGTATATTGGTATCGATCTACAAGAATAAAGGGGATATTCAAAGTTGTACTAATTACCGAAGAATTAAGTTGATGAGCCATACTATGAAGTTATAGGAGAGAGTTATCGAGCATTGCTTTAGAGCAATAACGCGGGTCTCTATAAACCAATTTGGTTTCATGCCCGAAAGGTCAACCATGGTAGCCATTTTCTTAATAAGACAAGTTATGGAGCGGTATAGGGAGAAGAAGGAGGACCTACACATGGTTTTTATTGACTTGGAGAAGGCTTATGATAAAATACCAATGAATGTTATGTGGTGGGCTTTGGACAAACATAAAGTCCCAACGAAGTACGTCGGGCTCATTAAGGACATGTACAACAATGTTGTGACTAGAGTTCGAACAAGTGATGGAGACACGGATGACTTCTCGATTAGGATAGGACAACATCAATGGTCAGTTTTGAGCCCTTATTTGTTTGTCTTAGTGATGGATGAGGTTACAAGGGACATACAAGGGGATATCCCTTGGTGTATGCTTTTCGCGGACGATGTAGTGCTAGTTGATGAAAGCCGGACAGGAGTGAATCAGAAACTGGAGTTATGGCGGGAGACTTTGGAGTCCAAAGGTTTTAGACTCAGTAGAATTAAAACTGAGTATATGAGATGTGACTTCGGGACTACTACTCAGGAGGAGGAAGATATTAGTTTGGAAGGTCAAGTAGTGCCTAGGAAGGATACCTTTCGATATTTAGGATCAATGCTACAGAGAGACGGGGATATTGATGAAGATGTTAGCCATAGAATCAAAGTAGGGTGGATGAAGTGGCGCCAAACAGCTGGTGTCCTATGTGACAAAAGGGTACCACAAAAGCTAAAAGGCAAGTTTTATAGGACGGCGATTAGACCTGTTATGTTGTATGGTGCAGAATGTTGGCCTATGAAAAGACGACATGTTCAACAAATAAGTGTCGCGGAAATGCATATGTTGCGTTGGATTTGCGGTCATACAAGAATGGATCGAGTTCGGAACGATGATATACGTGATAGATTAGAGGTAGCACCAATTGAAGAAAAGCTTGTCCAACACCGGTTGAGATGGTTTGGACATGTCCAACGGAGACCTCCAGAGGCACCAGTGCGTAGTGGAATCCTAAGCCAGGATAGTAACGTGAAGAGAGGCAGAGGAAGACCGAAGTTGACTTGGGTAGAGCCAATAAAAGGAGACTTGAAAGGATGGAATATATCCAAAGACTTAGCCTTAGATAGGAGTGCTTGGAAGACAGCTATTCACGTGTCTGAACCTTGATTGCTTCTGCTGGGTTTCAATTCTAGCCTACCCTAACTTGTTTGGGACTTAAAGGCTTTGTTGTTGTTGTTGTTGTTTATTTGATACAACTTTCAACATACTGCTGGTTCTCATCTGACCTATGTAGCGAACATGACAATCTTCCTACATGTAGGTTTGCAGCTGCATCCCAATCAGCTCGAATGGACTGGTCTTCATTTACCAAGGGTTACTTCTTGAACAGAGATACCTTGGTTGGCGTACTCCTCCTTATTGATGCCAGTATCCCACCTCAGAAAATTGATCTAGACTGTGCTAACTGGCTCGGCCGTAACAATGTGAGGCAGTATGCGGTTGAACTGATAATATTATTCCATCTGATATTGGTGTACTTTTTTGAACTAACTTATTTTTGTGTGTTGATGCTACATGTGTATTATGCATCTCTCTAACTGCATTCTCACTATATCTATGTTGCTTCTGGTAAAAAAAATTCTGTGTTGCTGATTCAGATTGGATTGACATTTGTCTTCACCAAGTGCGACAAAGTAAAGAAGGGTAAAGGAGGGCGGCCTGATGAGAACATCAAGCAGTTCCAGGAAACTATCAGTGGGCTTTATCCAGAGCCACCACCATGGATCATGACAAGCAGTGTTACCGGATTAGGCCGCGACGGGCTACTCCTCCATATGTCGCAGCTGAGGAACTACTGGGATAATGAAGCAGTCTAGGTAGAGCTACATAGATCAACCGCCACTAGGAATAGCAGCAGTACGTATATTTGAAGAGAGGATCACATGGCTTAAACTTTCACTGATAGATCTCGCTTCTCATGGGTCAGGGGCTTCTTGTTCAATTTTGCTTCCATTTTTTTGTTGGCCTTTTGATGTATAGTGGAAATGCAGTTGCTTCTAGTTTCCGTTCCATCCATCCTGTGTTAAGTGAAGCCCTTATGGTTCCTGCTTGTACTACACCTTAAATGTCGGATCTGGAATTACACATTTATGGAGGTGAAGGTACTCGAGAGAATTCAATGTACTGTACATGTACACATTCAATGAGACGAGGTCATGAAGCTGAAACCCTTGGGCAAACACATTTTATTGCCAGATAGGCTGCTGCCTTTGGGTGCCACTATTACTCCGTGGCAAAGATCGTCTCAGTGATTTGGTAAAGCTCGGTTGATTCCGCGGCACCGGGCGGTGATGTACGCATGTCGGCCTGCCATGGGTACTCACTACTCACGGGGCGAGGAACTGATCACCTCTCACTCTGACCGGCGACGTGAACACCGTTAGTTCGGTCCCACGGCGAAGGCGGACAGCAAAACCAGAAAGCGAGCAACGCATGGACGTACAAACAGAACCGTGGCTCACTTTCGCCGTGGCCGGCGTGCCGCGATGCCGCTCGCAGTGCCGTGTCGAACGCTGCGCGAGCCAAGCCGCTCCGCTCCGCTCCGACCGCCCGACGGACGGGTGGGGGCGGCCCTGCCCCTGGTCTGCGCGCGATCTGGACGCCAAACTGGCGAGTTTTGTTTCAGAGCGCGGGTCAATAAACACCGGCCATGTCCCGCTGCCGCTGGCCGTGGGGGCAGCCGCAGGTGCGCTGACGGGCGGCGTGCCCCACCCTTCGTCCCCGCTGGGGGTCGGTCTCGGTCTCATCTCCTGCAGCGCGGGCACGGGCCCAGGGCTGCTAGGCTGCTAGCAGTCATATTCCCAGAACGATAGGAAAATAGCGGTTTTTAGAAAGTTTTTGCATTGTGAAAACGCAACTGTTCTGAAATGACGCTCCTGGAAAGAAGAGCGTATGATCGTGTTCCACCCGGACGCAGGGACTGGTCCGGAGGGAGACGGTCCCTCACTCTGCCCTCCTGCTGCCTGCCTGGTGGCTGCTAGCGCTAGTGCTAGACGACGACGGCGGCGGCAGCGCCCACCACGTACCCGTACCAGGTACCGACCAATACAATACGATCGCCGGGGTACAGTAAATTGTCGCGTGCAGCGCAGCCCCTCACGCTGCGAAGTTAATGGCGTCGCCGAGGAACACGGCCGGCAGTGGCATTTACCGCACGGCATCGCCTTCAGCGTATTTGTGAGGGAAATCTGGGATCTTGTTTGTGCTTGTGCAGGTGGTGGTTGTTTGAGCTTCGAGCGGTAGTATCGTACTGGCCTCCAGTGGCGTACATATCGCTGTACAAACACGGCTCGTTCTGCCAGTGAAATGAAGTACACCTGGCAATCGGACTTGAGGTCAAAGCACAACCCAAGGAAGCTACGTACTGTATTGTGCTTGTGCGTGCGTGGTTAAGCCCAGGCCACGTTTCGTTGGTATTGAGTGAGACGTGAGGTGACAAGTGTTTTTCGTAAAAATCTTCACCAAAAATTGTGACCAGGTCTTGTTTAGATTATGATTAGGAATCAATATTTAGCACTGTAGTACTTTTGTTTGTATTTGATAATTATTGTTCAATCATGGCCTAACTCGTCTCGTAATTTACAATCAAACTGTGTAATTAGTTATTTTTTTATCTACATTTAATACTCCATATATGTGTCCAAAGATTTGATGTGATGGAGAGAGAGTGAAAAAACTTGCAATCTAAACAAGGCCTAGCACAGGCGCATCGATTGGACTAGCCTGTAAGAAATATGGACCCTAGTTCATTTATTTTGGATTTTGATATTTGACGACCAACACAATTAAATTGGACTAATAAATTTGTAAATGATTGTTTTGTAGTTTAATAGGATGCAAGATTTGACTTGGACAAAGGCAACGTGGTAATCCGATAATTAACACCATAAGCAAGACTCTAGGAGCACAAGAGAAGACCCAAGATAGCAAGTAAATTCCAACTACGAAGATAGGAACCAAGCCGTACGCAAGATCGTGAAGAAACGAGCTCACAGGGATGATCGGACGCTGAAGGAAAGTGACCGAACGCTCCGATCAAGAGGCTCGGCAACCGGCGTGACCGGACGCTGGACCGGACGCGGGCGGCAGATCGACCGAACGCCGGACAGCAGAGTCCAGTCGAGTACAGAGAGGTTCCAGAGCGACGAAAATACGACCGGACGCGTCCGATCAGTGGATCGCGGCTCCAATGATTGGGACGACCGGACGCGTCCGGTCAGTAGCAGAAAAGCGGGATTTCGTTCCCAACAGCTACTTTCTCAGTAGGGCTTAAAAATACAACCCCCAACCGGCTATTTGAGTAGTGTGGAGCTGAGGAAACATATCTAGGGTGTTGATACACCATTTTAGTGATCTCCACTTGTATAGTGCTTAGTGTTTCATTAGGTGATTAGCGTAGGTGCTTTGCGAAGTACTTAGGTTGATTAGACCACCGCTTATGCGCTTGCTATAGGTTTAGGCCTAGTGTTTAGTGAGGTTTACATACCTCTTACTACTCGGTGCTTGCGCGCACCATTGTTGTACATCGGAGTGGCTTGTAGTCTTGCGAGATCACAATAATCGTGTTTGTGGTGTGGCTACCACCGTGTACCGGAGAGAACAAGACCCGTGGCGTTTCGGCCAGAAGCTTGATAGTGAAGACGGCGGGGAGCATCCGGGAGAGGCTTGCCGGAAGGCACGTCGGAGACCCACTTGCGCGTGGGGAAGGCCCAAGGCTATCCACGGAGTTACCTGACCGGGAGCTTGGCCCTTGTGAGGAATTTTTTGCGAGGGGCTCCAACGAGGCTAGGGGAAAGCTTACGCGCTTCTCGATATCTCGGTAAAAATACCGGAGTCGTCGACGGGAGTTTACATATCTCTATCTTGCTCTCTAGCTTCCGTATTTACATTGATTGTATTACTTCTTTTGCGGTAGAGATAGCATCACACTAGCAAAACCATAATTGCACATTTAGATAGTTTATCTTTTACATAGATTTTGCTAAGGTTAGAAAAAGAGGCTATAGTTTAGAATTAGAATTTTAAGTTGCCTAATTCACCCCCCTCTTAGGCGTCATGGTCCTCTAGAAGTGGTATCAGAGCCGGTTGGATCAATTTAGACCTTTGGCTTAACCGCCATTGAGCCGACGCTATTTAGAGTGGTTGGGATGGATACCTCTAGGCCTCCGCACTTTGACGGCACTAACTTCCCCTATTATAAAGCTAGAATAGCTTGCTATCTTGAGGCGGTTGATTTGGGTGTTTGGAGAGTCACTCGTGACGGGATGAAACACATTAAGCATTCCGAAAAACCCATAAAGAGTGATGAAAAAGAAATGCATTTCAATGATATAGCTAAAAATTGCTTGTTTGAATCATTTAATATGGATATGTGTAACCAAGTGTTCACTTTAAATACGGCACATGAAATTTGGTTAAAATTTCAAAAGCTCCATGACGGCACATATAATATCCATGAGCAAAAACATTGTCTAGCTAAACAAAATTATGATTCCTTTAAAATGAATGATGATGAGCTTGTTCATGATATGTATTCTCGTTTGAATCTAATTATCAATGAGCTCCATTCAATAAGATTAACAAAGCTAGATGATGTGGACATTGTGAGGAAGATCATCTCCGTGCTACCACAAAAGAAATATGCAAGCATCATCACCATCCTTCACAACATGAAGGACTTGAGCACCATGACCCCGGGCATAATCATTGGCAAGATAGTGACATTTGAAATGTCACGTAAGATGGATCAAGAAGAAGCCTCTTCTTCAAGCAAAGGCAAAGCTCTCGCATGTAGCGAGAAAAAGAAGATGAAGGGTGTCGGTACAGAAAGTGACCAACTAGTGAATATTTGTAGTTTTGCTGCACGTTATGATCGGAGGTGGCCTAGTTCTCAATGACACAGGATATATACTGGTTCGGGCAACGTGCCCTACGTCCAGTGTGGGTCGGTCAGTGACTTTATTCCTGAGCCTAGGTGCTCGAAGTCTGTAGTGGGGTTACAAACGGGAAGGAGAAAGGAGGGGTGTACGAGAGGCCCGGTCGGGTCCGACCAGGAGGGCCGAGGTCGACCGGAACTCCACAATGAGCTAGGTGTTCAAGCGTGTGCTCGAGGGGTTGTGAGTTATCGATCTAGTAAATCTAAGCTTGAAGAAGAAGCGTCCTCTGGGAAATTCGATCTCTCTGTTTGGTGGGAGCGCATCCCTTTTTATAGATAAAGGGTGTGGATTTACAGGTGAGAGGGAGAGAGTACGGATGTTTCTAGGTCTTGTTACCCACGTCGAATGAGGGTAGCGATGATGGTCGGCACGCACAATACTGTTGATGTCGCTGTAGAATGTCAGGTGCACATGGAAAGTTGGGTTGGCTTCTTCAGGAAGGATAGACGTCGGTACCTGCAAAATACCATCGGTGTGTGGGGAGCCCTACCACATGTACCAGGTGTGGTGAATCCTGGCGCTCTCCACCGATGCCCAGAGGCACGTAGGGGGCCTTTTTGCATTATGGGAGTCCCAACGGCGCCTACAATACTATAGACATAAATGTCAGCGCCTGCAATACTGTATACACAAATGTCGGTACCTCCCATACTATTTTTGTCAGGTCGGTTGTGGGGCACTGTGTCCGTAGGCATACATGGTATGGTCCTGGTACCGTGGTTTGACTTTATGCGCTGCTTTCTCCGTTCGCCCCTGGTCCCTTTCGAGCGGGAATCCCCGGTCGGATGGCTCCAGTCGGTACTGGCCGTGCCAGTCGGAGAAGAGCGGTAAGCAGGCTTCCTATGAGTCTTCGGTCGGAGACGCGGGGTCGGAGTAGGAAG